CTAGAACGAAAAGACATAATTTATAGTTATTTCTGAATTTTTTTATGCCAGTTACGAGATCAATCAAATCGACCAAACCTGTACAGAGATTCGTTAATGAAAATAACAGATTAAGTATAAAGTTTTTCATAAGAAACATTTGATAATTATCTGGACTTTATAAAGATTTTGCATGTAAAATTTGAAAATTTTCTGATGCATAAAAGTATTTTTAATTCTAAAATGAAAATTACTTTTCATGTTGGATAGGCAACATGTGAAATAAAAAAGGCATGAGAAAAATATTGCTTAAAAAACCTTAAGACTTAACAAAAAAATCAGATACTTTGCGAATGAAAGCCTTGTAATGTTTACCGATAATATGCCAAATTTTGTGAACATATGCTTATTAATTTAAAAGTTATAGCATGAAAACTATAACAAATACAAAATGGTTAGAAGGTCATTTTCAGGGACTGAGCTTGTTCTAACATTACAAAAAACTATAATCTCATTACTGGACAGTCATTTTCTGCTCAATACCAGATAGAGCTGATAAAATCGGACATTTGGAATGAAAGAAAGATATACGAAATTAATAAAGTTCAAATATGTAGTCTAAATTATTATATACACTATAAAGTTATAAACAACTTTAAAACATTGTAACTATTCATTTTATATTTTGTCAAACGTAAGTTTTCATGTAATATGAACAATATAACAATTAACAGAAAACCTGACCGCTCGATCACTGTTGGCCACAGCTCTCCATATTCAAGGGATACTTCTGAGCTACAGTCATCCTACATATAGAAAAATATTTCTCAAATAACAATAAAAAAGTGGGATGTTTTAATAAAATGGATAAAATATGACTGAAAAAACAATTAACAATGTTAAACTGTGAAGCATACTGAAAAAACGATTAATAATGATATAATGTGAAGACTGTTGGAGAAAAACATTGAACAAAGTCTAACTGTTAATAATATTGGAGAAAACTGTTTAATAATCTCTAGCTGTGATGCATATTGGATAAAAACATTAAAAAAAACAGCAATCTTGGTGAAGCATGTTGGAGAAAAATGTTTGATAAAACACGGTCTAGTTGTGAAACATACTAACAAAAAATCTCAACCATACACTAGCTGACAGGAAACTTTTTAATCTAATAATATCTGTCTGAGAAAAATAATACAGAAAGACAACTTACATAATCTCTGATGTGAACAGAGAACAATTGGGGTGAAGATTATCATGCTGGTGTTTTACAAAATATATTTTGTATGATGTGAATAAATTAAACAACTTCTAAAATATTAATAGTATCATTAACTTTGTGTATATATATAAGAAAACATATTTTGAAGGTCTTTTCAGAAAATACTTTTGAATTTTGGGTTAAATATTTGCATATAATTCTTGATCAGAGAGTGAAAAACATAAGTTTTCTTCAAAATGCAAGTGTAACCTTCCAGAAAGTAGACGGGTACACCACTGAAAATTTTAGTAAATGAAAACTTACCTAAAATAGACACCAGGTAAACCACTAACAATTCTAAGTAAGTGTAAACTTACCTACAGTAGATGCCAGGTACACCACTAAAAAATCTAAGTGTAAACTTACCTGAAGTGGTTGTCAGGTACACCACTAAAAAAATCTAAGTGTAAACTTACCTACAGTAGATGCCAGGTACACCACTAAAAAAATCTAGCAAGTGTAAACTTACCTTAAGTGGTTGTCAGGTACACCATTGATCATTGTAGTAAATATAAACTTACCTACAGTAGATGCCAGGTACACCACTGATCATTGTAGTAAATATAAACATACCTACAGTAGATGACAGGAACACCACTGATCATTGTAGTAAATATAAACTTAATTACAGTAGATGCCAGGTACACCACTGATCATTGTAGTAAATATAAACTTACCTACAGTTAGATGCCAGGTACACCACTGATCATTGTAGTAAATATAAACTTACCTACAGTAGATGCCAGGTACACCACTGATCATTGTAGTAAATATAAACTTACCTACAGTAGATGCCAGGTACACCATTGATCATTGTAGTAAATATAAACTTACCTACAGTAGATGCCAGGCACACCAATAAAAAAATTAATAAGTGTGAACTTATCTACAATAGATGTCAGGTACACTGATAAAGACTAGTAGTTGCAAACTAATAACAATAGGCAACAAGGTAATTGCCTATAGCAAGTGTCAGGAACCTAATAATAATAATATTAACGTTAAAATTAATTATATCAAGTGCCAAGGTACACCACTCAATTGAAATCTTATAGTTTGTAAAACACTGTGAATTATCGAATACAGAAACATCCATTCAACTTTTTATGGCTTTGGCATATCTGTAAACAAGCTTCTTTTGATTCCACACATACCTTAAGAATGTTGTAGACTTTTGTAAGAAAGGATAAAATTATTGTCAGGACCAGGGAATTCTATAAAAAAAAACAAAAAAAAAACAACTACATGAAATAAATGTAAAATATCTTAAATTTACTCTAAATGTTCATCTTTCATTGTTACCAACTGAAGCTAAAATTAAACTATATCAACTATGAGCAGTGAATGCACCAACTTAATGCAATAAAACCAAAATAAAATCTAATTCATTGAGAAATCTGTTAAATTAAATGTATAAAATGTAAGTATATTAAAGAAACAAAAGAACAAAGATACATACTAATAAAACTACAAAACAGTTTTGTATTAAAACTATTACATTTTCACTCTCACAGTGTACTTTTAGAATACATCTGTGACATAAATGGCTACATTTAAACTCTCCTATTACACTCTGAAGATATCCGTGTTTTACGTTTCATTTTATTTTTCACTATATTCAACAGAAGATTTGATCTATATGTGATACAGTTTCCTTACTCTGTTGTAATCTATGAAAGATATATTTAGTACAAAGAAGATATAAAACAGCAACAGATATGCAAAATTAAAACTATAAAAATGAAATCAAAGAACCAAATGTTTGTTTTATTGTTAAGCATAAAGATACACAATGGTTTATTTATGCTGTGCTCACCACGAGTATCAAAACTTGGTGTTTGGCATTATAAGCCTTCAGACTTACCGCAAGCCAATGGGGGTGACACAAAACAAGAGAGAGACATATTAAAATTTATAACCATATACAAAAATAAAATGAAAAATAGGTAAGAAAATAAATTAACTGAACAATAGATAAACAAAGTAAAACTTCAAAACATAAGTAAGAATTAAATGAAAATAGGTAAAAAAAAACAACTAATTATCTGAACAATTGATAAACAGAACTTCAAATATACGTAAGAATTAAATGAACAACAGATAAACAAAGTAAAACTTTACATGAACAATAGATAAACAGAACTTCAAAACATAAGTATGAATTAAATGAACAACAGATAAACAAAACACATAAATAATAATTAAATGAACAATAGATAAACAAAATAAACCTTCAAAGAATAAATAAGAATTAAACTAACAACAGACATATAAATTAAAACTACAAATATTGAAGTAAAGAATTAACCACCAACATCAGATATATCCAAAAATAAAAGATACAAGAACCTAATGAATTGCATACACAATACCTGACAAACTTAACATATCTAATAAAAACACTCAAACAAATTAACAAAACATTGTTTCTGTACAGAATAAAGAATCTCATAATTCTAATTTTTTCTTAAATATCCTTTATTTGTTTAACATTACTGACAACAGTGCTTTAATTTAAAGCAACCAATCATGTATGTTTTTGTTTCTTTGGATTGTTTGGATAGATGTTCCTCAATTTGATAATGCTGATGTTTTTATATATATATATATATATATGTATACTGTAATTTTTGTTACTTTGTTACATACTGACTAACACAATCATAAAGTGAATGACATTAGATATTTTAGAACAAACTTTGACACAAAAGTATTGAAAAATGACGTATTTGGTAAATACAAAAACCTACCAGTTCGATCCTTCTATTTCATTCAGACAGACAATAAACACTTACATAACATTTATAGATGGTTTGATAAATTCCTTTCCCTACCTTGATTTTCTGAACCAGTGCCATAAATGATGACCTAATTAGATAGGGGAGGAGAAACTATGAAACTGAGTACAAAACATGCAGAAGAATATTCAATTCAAAAGCTTTTATATTAAATAATACATCAAAATATGTCTTATTATAAATTTAAAAACAAAAACAGTTCCAAGTTTCTGTATTATCTTTATTACTGAAAATAAAACAGAAGATGCTACATATCCAATATATTATTAAATTGAAGTAACATTAACATGGTTCCATGCTCTTGTCATGATGTAAAACAAATACATAAGAAAAGATGGACCAAAGAATATATACAAATATTTTTATTTCAAAAAAAGCTTCCCAAGACTAACATAAAAAAAAAACTACAATATTCATATTCATGTCAGTTTGAGTGTGAAACTAACCAACACACTTTTGAAAACAAAACATTTTCCAGATTTCCATATTACTAGTATTACTTCAATAATTGTTTGAAACCATGCATTTATTCTTTATGCAAATATTATAAATAGGATACAAGTAGGCTTAAAATCTGTCAAAAAAGCAGAAAACTTAATAGAAGAAATGAGCAAACTGAATCTTTTTGTGGATAAATGCTAGCCACAACACAAAAAATAGTAGCAGTATGAAAGTTGGACATTGTCCTTTATTGATTTCAGTGAAAGTTCATATGATTACCCAAGAAAAGACCTAACTGTTTGTTTTTAGATTTAACATTACTTAGATCATCACCCAAACATAAGGATTTAGCTGTTTGTTATTAGATTCAACTGTACTTATAATTAAAGCAAATACGATATTAAGATCACCTAGAAAGAATCCCATCTCTCTGTACATCTTTAGCTGCTCCAGAACTAAGTCGCTTCTGTTGATATACCACTCCTCCTCGTCCAAACATTGGAAGAACTATTAAGAGAGACACAAGCCATAAATATAGTATCCAAGGACACATATAACTTAAACAGCAATGTTTCCCAACTTTTACATTATGGAACACCCCTTATGCAAATAATAATAGATATAGAATTGTCTTATGATGTTTCAATGTTGTTTTACACTTGTTTTCTATGCTTTAAAATAGTCGAAAGTTTGGGGTTTAAGAAAAAGAGAAAGAAAAAAAGATTAGGGTGAGAGCTTCTAGGATAACACAAGTGAGAAACACTATCTCCATGACACTAGCTTCATATAGCTGAAAACACTAGTCTAACACAGCTTGAGAACATTGTCTCGGTGACTGTAAAATGTAAATCCGTAATAGTGAAAGTGCTCTAGGCTAATACAGGTAAAGAACACTATCTCTGTGGTTGGGAAAGTAACTTTGTACGGCTAAAAGCACTTTAGGCTAATACAACTTCAGACCATCTTCATGGCTTGGAAAGGTAACTTGCATAAATGAAAGTTGGTTTTAATGATATCTCATGGCCCTAAGCAGGGAAGCACTGTTATAGAGTATAAAATGAGAAAAAAGTGTAGCAGTCTCAATAATATATATCTTACATAGAAAACAAACTAGCAGTCTAGCACACATTTTCTGTAGTGTACAAAAAGGGCAACAAAACTATAGAAACCTATGGTATGGATATCACTCGTTGAGTACAGTGGAAAAAAGGAAACTGTAGGAATCTATAACATCGATATCACCTGTTGAATATAGTGGAGAAAGGAAACTGTAGGAGTCTATAACATCAATATCACCTGTTGATTACAGTGGAGAAAGGAAACTGTAGGAGTCTATAACATCGATATCACCTGTTGAGTATAGTGGAGAAAGAAAACTGTAGGAATCTATAACATCGATATCACCTGTTGATTACAGTGGAGAAAGGAAACTGTAAGAGTCTATAACATCGATATCACCTGTTGAGTATAGTGGAGAAAGGAAACTGTAGGAGTCTATAACATCGATATCACCTGTTGAGTATAGTGGAGAAAGGAAACTGTAGGAGTCTATAACATCGATATCACCTGTTGAGTATAGTGGAGAAAGGAAACTGTAGGAGTCTATAACATCAATATCACCTGTTGAGTACAGTGGAGAAAGGAAATTGAAGGAGTCTATATCATCGATATCACCTGTTGAGTATAGTGAATAAAGGAAACTGTAGGAGTCTATAACATCAACATCACCTGTTGAGTACAGTGAAGAATGGAAACTGGACATACAAATTGCCTTATTAAAGAGCAGAGCAATAAAATGTAACCACTGTACACTGAAAGAACTAAAACAACAGTTTACATCAAATATATATCCTACAGAACATACCAAAAGTCTAAAACATTTCTAAGTTTTTTCTTAGCATTATGAGTTATTTGTATGTTTTTATACTTCTAACTGTTAAGCAAATGAATATTAAGACCATAAGAAAGGAACTGAAATGTAGAACTAGAACATACGTTTTCAAAACAACATAAAAAATAAACATATATAAATGTTGCAGTGCATAACAAAGATGTGTTATACAGAGAATACAGAAGTAATTAAATTGTTACTGTTTATGCAAGAGGTATTCTAACAGCATAATACATGTACTAAAATGTAAAGACTAGAGCAACTAAATACAAACAATATATATATAGCAAAATTAAACAGTTTATACATAATGTACTACAGAAACTACACTTTTGTTATACCTTGATGTACAGAAGACATTCTAACACTGATACTTGAAGTTTTTTTCCACATCATTAAATATTTACTTTAGGATCTAAAGAAAGAAACAAATATGAAGTATGAAAAATTACTTATTCACAATAGATAAAGTTGGTTTTTTTTTTAGCTTTACCTCCATTCCAGAACCCTGTAGCAGAAAAACGGCCAGCCTTGTTAGTGCATAAATCTCTACATATAGATCCCAGGAGCGAGGCAAACTATGGAAAAAATCAAGATTTGTAGTAACTTTTATTCCTTGAATACACATAAAAAGCAAAAGAAGATTGATACCTAATTCCTTTAACTGCACCTTATACATTTCAAAAGAAACTTCATGCTTATTTTACTTGCAGAATTCATTGGACTAACAAATACTTTCCATTGTTCTTACTTGTAAAGTTCACTGGACTAACAAATGCTCTACATTATTCTTACTTGAAAAGTTCACTGGACTAACAAATGCTCCACACTGTTCTTACTTGTAAAGTTCACTGGACTAACATATCCTCCACATTGTTCTTACTTGTAAAGTTCACTGGACTAACAAATGCTTTATATTGTTCTTACTTGTAAAGTTCACTGGACTAACAAATGCTTCACATTGCTCTTACTTGTAAAGTCCACTGGACAAAAAAAAAGGTTTTACATTGTTCTTACTTTTAAAGTTCACTGGACTAACAAATGCTTCAAATTGCTCTTACATGTAAAGTCCACTGGACAAAAAAAAGGTTTTACATTGTTCTTATTTTTAAAGTTCACTAGACTAACAAATGCTTCAAACTGCTCTTACTTGCAAAGTTCAATGGACTAACAAAGCTTCATATTGTTCTTACTTGCAAGTTCACTGGACTAACAAAGCTTCATATTGTTCTTACTTGCAAGTTCACTGGACTAACAAAGCTTCATATTGTTCTCACTTGCAAAGTTAACTGGACTAACAAAGCTTCATATTGTTCTTACTTGCAAAGTTAACTGGACTAACAAAGCTTCTTATTGTTCTTACTTGCAAAGTTAACTGGACTAAAAAAGCTTCTTATTGTTCTTACTTGCAAAGTTGAACAGTCTAACAAATACTTCACATGGTTCTTATTTCCAAAGTTTATTGGACTAACATAAGCTTCTTGTTGCTCTTACTTGCAAAGTTCCATCCCTTCTGGTCTCAATCTGGCAAAGCAGTTCCCACTCTTGAAGATTCAACAAAGTAACAGCACAAAGCTCAACCAAATCTCGTCTTGGAGGAGTGTCTATTAAAACAAAACATTCAGCACAAATGTCAAATAGATGATGTCTTGGAGGAGTGTCTTTTAAACTTATTACATTTAACACAACACTCAATTAAATGCTTACTGTAATAAAGCATTAAAACAAAAACATTTAGCACAAAGCTCTAATAAAATTTATGTTTGAGAAGTATATATATTAAAATAAATATATTTAAGAAAAAACAAATATAAAATAAGCTAAGCCTTTACCATAACTCAGTGCATACAAAGTGCCTTTTATTATGTTGGAATTTTGTCCACAATATATATATATATATTTATTTAATGAGATCTATAATATTGAAATCATTTATTTTGATGAATGAGTAAACAAAAACTTTGTGCTCAAAGTAAAATATACGTACAAAATACTTCTAGCAGAAATCATCACAGAAAATAATAATAGATAAAAATTAATTATTTCATGATTAACATATTTTCTTAAAAGGCTTTATCAAATTAAGCAAAACTGGCAGCATTGTTTCCATAGGAACATGGAATTCAGTTTCTCAGGATAATACACTCATTACACTTCTGAAGACTTTTAAACTGGTCACGTTGGATCAATATACATGTACAATGAATAACTAGTAAACAAGGATTGTACAGATTTCCAAACATTAACTAGTCAGACAGGGTTAAATGTGCTCTACAATTAGGTTTATTACTGGTTGACTTCAGTTAGACACATCCACATTAAACATTGATAATTAAGCAGTCAAAGATGAATCATACAACTAGATTATCCTAATCTGTACAGATAAGTAAGTCCCTTTACCACACTGAGAAACATGCATGGATTGAAGCCTGCTTTTTAGCCTTATAAGTTCTTAAACTTAGTGCTGAACCACCTGGGGAGGGACACATTAAAGTGTCACATATTTCTAGTTTGTTCTTGCAAAAATGCAAGCCTTATCAATTTAAACTGAAACACAACTTAACTACATTTATTCTGTTGAAAATAAATACAACCATAAACCTTTATTCTGATGAAACAAAACACAACTATGAACATTTATTCTGAAGAAATGAAACACAATCATGAATATTTATTCTGATGAAACAAAACACAACTATGTACTTTTATTTTGATTAAATGAAGTACAACTATGTCATTTTTTCCAAAGATATGAAACACAATTTTATCTCTCAACAAATGAAATATGTTCTTCATTAAATGAGCTAATACAAAATTTTAGGCTCTAAAGCCAATGAATCTTTATTTTGAGGAAATAACAAGAAGTTTTATTTTCTACTAACACTAATACCTTTATCTCGATGATAAGCACGGACACAAGCACTTGTTTGCTGAATAATTTCCTGTCTAGAAAAATCACAGTTTCCCTTGGTTTCCAATATCTCTGTTAAGTCTAAGTGTAGTAACTCCCAGTGCACAGCACTTGATAACCATGGCAACATGGTTCTTGTCTCTTCTTCCACAAGTCTAAAAAGCTGACGAGCTTCAGCAAACAGCTATCATGGATAACATGAACAGTAATGAGCTCTTGTAAAATACATATTTCACTATAACACTAATTACAGGATTTCCATTGCAATTTTAAAAACAACTATATTTATAATTTACCTAATCAAAAATACCTTAGGTGTGAAAAAAAAAGGTGCGGCCTAAAAAGGTTTGAGCATGTAACTTAATAGAATGAAATCAAAATTGGCAGCCAAACTGGTAGCTACACTTAAGCATTAATAAGAATTTTACAGCAAGTATTCATTCATTAGTTAGCCAGGCTGCATTTTTTTGTTCAACTTGGGGCATGATGGTGGGTAAAACAAAATAGAATTTAGCAAATTTGTGCTTAAGAGTTGGCAATGAATAATAACTGCCCACCCACAAGATTCTTTTGAAAACTTGAGCTAGAAACTGCTAATCTAGTTTTCTTTGCCTAACCAAGATATACGTATCTGCACGTCCTTTCACCCTGTAGTTTTGCTGCTCTAAGTCAGACGTCTTTAATCAATGTCAAAAAACCAAAGTTAAGTATGTTTTTCAATCAAATAAAGTTTCTGTACTTCTATAGAAAAAATAAAAAAAGGAAGAAATTCAATCCAAATGCGAGATTTTTTTATCTTGTGTATTTGTTAACAGAATGTCTTGAAATTTGGTATGTGAATTAAGGTTCCAGTAGAGCGTATCCACTGAAAATATGTGATAATTTAGATTACCACAGTGTGAGCTAAATTAAATGGAAAACTGCTAAACTATCACTCTTGCTTATAACACACAGTGTGTCCTGCAGGTTGTTTTGGCCACACAACACACTACCACGTCTTGATTTAGTCTTTATTTTGTATGATTACATCATAAAGGAGAAAAATATAGAAGCTATTTTATAATAGTGGTAAAGTTTTAACTAAAAGTCACAACAAAGGTACTCTGTTTATCATGTTTTACTGATAAAAAGTTAGTCAAAATACCATACCTCTTGAAGATGGCTACTAAATTAAAGCTAGATCATGTAAACAATCTGAAGCACTAAATTCTTTACAAATAACACAAATGACTCATATTATTGGAATACATACTTTGATTCCTTTCAGTTCTGTTGCTTTTGATACATAAACATAGAGACGGTCCCTCTGTAGTCCTGCAGGCATTCCTTTCAACATGTTTGTCAAAGATTTAGAAAGCTCCCACTAAAACAAAATCATAGCTATTAACACTAAAAATCACAATTCTAAAAAACCTCTAAAAAGTAGTATCTATTACTTTTGTATTGAATAAGTTAATTTAACATATATATATATATACTTTTTTATAAATTTTTTGTTTCGTTTGAGCCCTCAAAGATGAAAGTTAATCTGTATGGTTTTATGGAAAACAAAATAAAGTAAATATATATATATATTCTTAAGGTTATGGTTACATGCTAAAGAAATATTTTAGTACTAGCTCTCTTTCCACCAATAACGGAGTTCTGTCACAACGTGTCTGTCAGTACACTGTCCAGGTAGTGTGTTGCCATCTCTAATTTTGAATCATCAACCACAGGGAGGCAACCAGTCAGCAGCAATGTACTGCCGTTTTTAAATATATATCATGATGTATCATTTTCTTTTATAATATGTTATCAGTGTTAATAACAAAGCATTGCTCTTTTAATATAAAAAATTAATATCAAGACTGCTAATTCCTGCACGCTCAGACTAGCATCAACAACCTTGTATATAAACTTAGCAAATTAATCCAATTTAACAACTGCATTCTCCAACAACTTGAAACTAATTATAATATTTATCAAAAATTAAGAAGAATATTAATATTTTTAACTATTATCACTGAGAAGCTATTTAGATTTTTAATTAACTATGAGATAGTGAAGTTAGGTATTTTGCTTAACAGTAATCAGATCTAACGTTGTTGTTCCATTTTGCCATTTTTTTTCAGACATAAAGATTTCAGCAATTAATCAATACACATATTAATTTACTGTCTAATGTATCTGCTCAATGTTATGGAATAAGCGTATTAAATTACCATCTGCTCAACATTATAACAGAGCAAACAGACATAAGCCTAATTTTGTATAAAATTGCATAAGCTAAGTGAATCGATTCAAGTTGGCTACTGCACTCTTAAAATAAGTCAAAATTAATTAAAATATTAGCAACAAACCTAGAAGAATATTAACTGGGCCGTAAACAACTAACTAAGTAACTTTCGATTATCTTTACTCTCCAGTGCCACATATTTTTCAGTTACACACGTATTAGTTAATGTATGTGTTGAAGTACTAAATACTCTTGATCTTTTCTGTTTGTAAAAGGAGTCCATTTTGGACATCAGTATATAAAGAATGCCATATATAAGAAAAAATTAACATGTTACATTAGCCCAAATCAAAATGAAGAAAAAACAGTTTAAATTGGTATTACTATTTGAAAGTTACATAAAATGAGTTCTAATTCACGTGTTAATAAAACTGGATTAAATTATCAAGAGAAAATATCATATTCAATATGCTGTCATTTGAAAAAAAAAGTACTCATTGACTTTTTTTTCATTTGTGAAAATACTTGTGTTATATAAACATAAAAAAAAAATTCAGTGTGTTATACTGCACAACAAAATGTTGTCAGTGTTTTCTTAAAAATGTTAAAAATGTTTTAGTAGCTTAGTTCTGATCCTCTCTCTTAAGATATTCAACTCATAAAATGATGATTAACATTCTGCAAAAAGAGAGCTATTTGAAGAAAATTAAGTTTTGAAACATTTGTCTTTTCATGTGTATTTTAAACTAGTCTAGCTAAAATCTGATAGGAAATATGTCAACCCTCTCACTACAGGTAAGTCAAATCGTGCATGTCTCTATCTCTTAACCCTTTTGAGACAGGTCACGGGTGAAAGGCCACA